TGACAGCGCAGTGTCTGCTGTTTATTGGGCTCCTCGGGTGTCAGCCGGCACCGGCATCCGGTCTGTGAAGGAGGCTTGGTGACCACCCGTTTTACAGGTGAGAGGACTGAGGTTTGGGAAGCCGAGGCCGCGCACACAGCGTGTGGGCCGCGGAGTTTACCCGCCAGGCCCTGGGGCCCGAGCCCTGTGTGTGCCAAGAAGAGATGAACGAGGGTTAGGGTTTGGTTTTGTTTGTTTGCTTTTTAGCTTAAAGAAGATAAGACCCAAAGCTGAGAGGAAGCTAAATAAATACTTTCTAAGTATTAGAAGGATTTGGGGGGCCGGAGCATCTGTCATTTAGTTTTTTCGTTCTCTCTCTCTCTCTCTTTTTTTTTGTTGTTACAGAGAGGAAGGGAAAGGGATAGAGAGTTAGAAACATCAATGAGAGAGAAACATCGATCAGCTGCCTCCTGCACACCCCCTACCGGGGATGTGCCCACAACCAAGGTACATGCCCTTGACCGGAATCGAACCCGGGACCCTTCAGTCCGCAGGCCAATGCTCTATCCACTGAGCCAAACCAGTTAGGGCTCGTTCTCTCTATTTAAAATATATTTGTATTGATTTCAAAGAGGATGGGAGAGAGAGATGGAAACATTAGTGATGGGAGAGAATCATGGATCGGCTGCCTCCTGCACGCCCCCTACTGGGGATCGAGCCTGCAACCCGGGCATGTGCCCTGACCGAAATCGAACCATGACCTCCTGGTTCATAGGTCGATGCTCAACCACTGAGCTACGCCGGCCGGGCTGTCATTTAGTTCTTTAGAAAAGAGCGTCCACCCCATCTAAGCGTCTGAATGGGACCAGCAGGAGGCGCCCCATCGCCAGGTGGCTGTGCCAGGGCCCAGTCTCTGCCATGAGGTTTAGCAGCATCCGATGAGGTTGGCGATGATGGGGTGGATGGAGAGAAAGGGAACGGGGGCCGGAAGAATCATAGATTCTATTGTACCAGCCCCGCTCAACTTGGAACATGACTTTTTTCCCCCCTTGGCTTAAAGTTCTGACTTCCCCACCAAATATTTTTTTTTTTGTCTTTTGCGTAAGTACATCAAGTATTTTTTAAAGTATGTTTTTATTGATGTCAGAGAGGAAGGGAAAGGGAGAGAGAGAGAAAAAAAGAAACATCAGTGATGAGAGAGAATCGTGGATCAACTGCCTCCTGCACACTCCCTACTGGGGATCGAGCCCGCAACCCGGGCATGTGCCCTTGACCGAGAATCCAACTGTGACCTCCTGGTTCATAGGTGGACGCTCAACCACTGAGCCACACCAGCCGGGCCATAAAATATTTTTAAAAGTGTGAGCTAGAAGAATACTACACATCCCCCTTGCTTCCCATCCCCACCCTCTCTGTCGGACCCCATGGCTGGGTGGGCTGACTGGTACAGGCCTTGCAGTTCCTCTCGCTGCCAGGTGGTGGCGCTGTTCTTTTAGTTATCTGGGCCACGCTAGTCCAATATTTATTGGAGGCGAGTCATTTGTTTATCAGGAGGTTATTTTAATCTAATTTTGCCCGCATTTGCCATTCCACACTATCTGCGCTTCCCAGCGTGAGCAGCTAGCCCGTCTTGAAGGAAATTAGCAGATGACGGTCTCAGAGGCATTGGCTCAGCCATTATTTAAGGGAGTGGGGAGGAGGCGGGTGCGTGGAGCTGGGGGGGCTGGAGGAGCCTCTGGAATTGGTTGTGCTCCCTGGGAGGTTAGCAGGATTAGAAAGGATTTGGG